ACAGGCAGTAAATAGCCTTTCCGGTGTGCTATCAAATTTTACTAAATAGCAGGAAAAAGCAAACAGCTGTGGGTTTGATTTAATTAATCGAGAGCTAATTAGAAATATTACTATTCGGTTCGCGATTGTAATGACTTTAATGCGAGTACTAACCATGGTAAGCGCAGCCTAAATCCTGCAATATAAAATTAGGCAATAGGTGTGCAATTTTAATCTTGGGTCCTAATTAACAGCTGTTAGTGGACGTAGTATGATTATCGCGCCCGTTGCTAATAAAAATTCTTTAAGCACCGGCAGTGCATTTTAATTCTGTGGTTACAATTCCTAGCGCAAATATTTAATTTTAAGAGTAGCTATTACCTTGCAACTCCTGATATATATGCAATAAAATTTTATTAATTTGAAGTAGGTTTAATTTAGTAAAATTAAAGCAAATACGATAAACTGAAGAGCGGAAAAAGATTAATATTTAAATAATTAAATAGTTAATTCAGCAAAAAAAATGAATGGGCGTAAGGAAGTGGCGTGCATGGCGGGTTTATTTTCCTGGTAACGGTCACATGCAGAAAAATCGTTTCAACTGGGAAAATCCAGGCCATGCACTGTGTGAAATGTACAGTACGTGTATGAGTATGGAAATGAATGAGCAACCGCACCCACCGTGCATCGTCGGCACAGCATTTTTTCGTTTGAAGTATATTTTCTGGAAAATACATCGAGCAAGATTGACCGCTACGTTAGTGTTGGAATCGTCCTGGCAAACAACACTTCAGCAAAATTACCAGGATGCTGATTTGTAAAGCAGCTCTGACGTCGACACCATGTGCAGCGTGCACGCGCGGCAACAATGCCGCCGCGGCTGACAACAAAAGATGGTCATCGTAAAAACAGATGACGATGGGGTGGAAATATTTTATTGTAGACAAATTCTTAACTGGTCAAGTTCATGCTATGCCAGCAATTTTCAAAATACACGGACTGCTTTTTAACCAACGTGACTGTCTGCATACATATGTTGTATATGTATCTGTATAATGTGATAGACGCATGATGGCTTGCGCAAAGTGTCCAGAATTTCCTAGGCATATCGTAGTGTACGGGCTTCTTATGACTTGTGTTTGTTGATGATTTGTGCACTGAGCTATTAATTAGCAAATCTATGAAGTTATAATAATTTTTCCGTCGAACTTTTTCTTTATGTTTAATAATTGTAGTTGCATTTGTGTAACATTACGAAGAAAATCACTTGAGAATTCCAGGCACTCTGTTAAGTCTCAAGAACGATTTTCAAGCAATTAATTTACGAAGAAAAATACTTTGGGAACGTATAGCTAAGAACTTCGCCTATTGATTTTTTTGTAACAGCATGTCAGCATCATTATATCGCAAATTTACTGCTGTAGGTATTATATAAACACTTTTCTTTTAAGTCTCGTTTTAATCTCTTGCTGACATTTGCTTGGGATTTTAATTATTGTAATTTTATAGTATTGCAAATCCCGCAAACCCAGTTACAAATAGATGAATTATCGGGCATCATCCTCTTCAGTTATGTTTGGGCAGAGATATCTCGTGAATGCTGCATGCATGGCACACGGCTTTACCAATCTGCAGCATCTAAAAAAACGCCAATGAAGCTGGACACTTCCGGTGTCAAGAGCGCCTTTATTTGGTTAACCGGTATGAATCCGCAATGGCCGCCTTGACTAGACTGCCGTCACAATAGTCGACGCCAGCTGAGTAACGCGCTACGCTGTTCATTCATCCGCCGTACGATATTTATGTACACATACGCTACGCTGTACGCGTGATGCGTTGACAGTTCCCGAAATGTGCCGACTGTGTGCTGTACATGTGTGTGTGTTTGTGTGAAGTGGCTATTTTTGCAACAAAAAATTTTGGGTTTGTCCACTTATCGCATGGCTGGTTACTCTGGGTTCATTGATGAGTCCGCTAAAATGCGCGTCAAAGATGTATCATGGCTCTTATACCTGTCAAGAATAGCAACATTGTCGCGCGCAGGCCAACTACGGAAGATGATGCAAAATGTGGCAACAATGTGGCGATTTCCGCGTTGCATCAGGTGAACATCCAAAAAGTGTCGCGGGCGGCGGCGGCGTCGTCTTGAGCCGTGTACAACGGGCCAATGGCTCATAGCGGTTTTGGCGGGATGACGCGCCGGTTTAGATAATGAGTAAGACGCGACAGAATCAATATTTTACATTTACTCATGGCGGGAAATTATTTTTAATTTTTAACTTGACACATTTAATTTGTTCGTAATTTTCTGATTCACTTCCTCGATGTCACCGTGTCAGTATATACATGAATGTCATAAGCTTGTGATTCACATACGTTAAATGGACGCGTCTCATTATCGGATAGAATCACAGTTTCATGCAACCAAATGAAATTGGCGAGATATTATTTTCTCACCGGAAATTAACTGACCACTTAAAAAACAATTTAACACTGATTAAACTTGCTACAAGAAGCACACTATCATTTTCCCCTTTATTAATGTTTTCAATTAAATGGCATTTGGCTGCTTATTTAGCAAAATATACCTAAAAAATGCGCGGCGACGATCAGTAACGGATATTTAAATTTAAAAAAATTGTACACAAATTCTGAGACTCTTTCTTCGGTTATAGACGGTTTCGGTGAACATATCATTCAAATATTGCGTAGAATTAAGCAAATACCGGTACGGTGACGTAGATTTCCTAGGCAGATAAAAACCGGGAAGGACTGTGTCCTGCTATTGTCGATAAGAAATGATACATAAGTTAATTTTATTTACCGATCATGTTGTCAGAGATTGGCTAAGGCGATCATCCCAACATGACCGATAAGTGCGCATTTGTTTTCTGTCTTTAGATACTGCTTTATTAACATGCCGACATTTTACCGGAAATTCTTAAACGTGACCGCCAGCCAGCGGCAGAGGCACGATGACGACAGTGCCGCCGTTTTTATCGTGTTGTACCGTTGTTGTCCGTTTACGGAGAAAATCGTCTATCGTACATTTCCACAATCATGACAGACAGTAATCATAGGCAAAGATGTGAGACACACCCGTTTTGTAAATATCCTTGTTCTGTCTTTTTATTTTTTATTTACGTATTTTTCCTTCTAGATCAATTTGTACTACCGTTATTTACCTTCTTTTGTCTGCGTTACCTTTCGAAAATAATTGCTTCTTTGTACGTAGTCGTTCAGAAACCATTTAAGAATTGTTATTATAAATAGCTCTTATTCATAAGAGCAATAAGTACATAAGAAATAAGTATGAAATCACCATAATAATTTGCAGAACAATTTTTGCGGCCCACTTTTGCGTTCGCACTTGACTTGCATAACAGACAATAATCTGACACTCGCAACTCTTCAGTTTAAAAACAGCTATATCACTTTACCATTTACTGGGATGATTTCTCGAAAAATCCGATAAACAAAAAAACATTATATAGTCAATGAGCCGATGGTTTCCGGTAAAACGTTCAGTGCAACGAGAAAAAACCTTAACCCACTTTAAAACGCCTGTTCGACAAATTTATGAACAGTGCGCGTACGGTGTAAACACTTCCGGTTGTTCTAATTTGGCGCCCTTCGCCCAACCTGCAATTGTCAAGAGCGGTCTAATATATAACTCTCAACAACAACATCGCACATATGGAAAAGAAATGGATTCGCTGAAAACCACCACGTACACGCTGCACGCTTTTACGTAAGCCGGCAACGCGTACCAGTAGCACACAGATCCGCGCAAATCAACAAAGCCATCATGCCGGTAGCAGCACGCCGGTGGAGAATCGTGTTAGATAACCATGATCAATGTCTTCCGCTAAAGTAATACTCACATTTTATTAGAATTTTAAAAAAATTGCGCAACTGGATTTGCTGTACACTTTTGCGATTTTTTGAAAGGTGACGTAGTGAATTTTAATGTGTAAATAAGTACACGATTTTTCTGCTGGTTTTAGGCTTCAGAATTGGTTTGTGGTTGACTAATGCTAAGGATTTTTGTATGTATTTGTTGTGGGTTGCATCCGGGTATTTTTATGGAAAATTGCCGATTGATCAGCATGTTGTACGTAGCAAACGGCTTTTGTGAGTAATACGCAAATCAGGTTTACGCCAATGTTTAATATTTAATAATACGTGTGTTGTACCGAGAATATTCCGTTATGCCTGCTGGTTCCGTTCTGGAACATTCACTAAAAAATGCGGCATCACCTGTGGCGCGAATTAGAACTTCCCTGTACTGTGGCGCTGGTTACACTATTTCACACGAATTTTTTCGAGAATTTTCCCGTTCTGTTTCTGAAATGCATAAACAGGATAAACAATCAATATGGGCATTACTATTGATTCATGAATAATCACGATAAAAGTAGGTATTAGCGGCTTTTAACAACCCGTCGAAATTAATGTTTGCATCGAACTGTTTTCACGTCATTATTCGTCCGTCCAAGCTCGAAAAAGCACCATACTGTATGGTTTTGCTGTGACTACGAGTGTTTCTTTTTAAGTGCGTAAAATGAAACCGGTTTATTAGTGGTCAGCAGATGTTGGCGCATGGAATCAAGATCAGTGAAAGAGAAAAAGTTTAGCAGGATACAAGGAGTGCAGCTGATCATCTCAGCTCAAGTGGACAGCCGATCACGGTTGGAAAGTGACACGAGACCAGTTTTCCTCCGCTGCTAAGCGGCGAAAAAACCAGATCACCCATGCAAGAGAATATCAGCGAAAAAACGACACAATCACGAAAAAATTAATTCACTTTCCAATCCCGCGATTGGCCATTGGCTGCACAGGGCCAGACAGGAATGCGAGGCGTCGAATACACCAAGCACGGTCGAGCCGCTCATTGGTTGGCGCTGGCTGGGAGTGTGGCGGACCGCCCCACTCGCGCGGCAGCGTACTACAGACCACACGGTTGAATCTATCGGCATTACGCAGCAGGCAGTGTACCGTAATAAATTATGATACGCACGGTCTGGGCTGATTCGGTGATAAAAATGCCCGCAGACCGGCTATAAAACCATCTTCTGTGTTTCGTTCTCCATCGCATCTGATCACCCGGTTGTGGCTGTTAAAAGACGAGAAAACTTTTTTTCTTCAGCCCAAACTCGTGGCGATATTTGGCGAGTGAGAGGAGAACCTGCACAGAGAGATCTAATCGAGTGTGTGCTGATCGTTTGTTTCACGGGATATTTCATTGTGTGTGGATTTATCCGCTTGCGCAACCGCATATCTGGCTTTTGTGCACCCTCGATCTACACACTGGAACAGACAGAGCCGCGAACCGTCGAGCAGCACACAGAGAGCGAGAGAGAATGATGACCACACGACCAGCACTGTCGCTGGCCCGACTCTGCCCGCATGCCGCCGCCGCGGCTGCGGCCCGTATGCCGAACGCCAGCCTGGCGATGCTGGATGGCAGTACGGCGGAGATGAGCGTCAACACCACCCGCGGCTACGAAGAGATCCCGGCGCCCCGCGGCTGGCCCGTCATCGGGACGGGCTTGTCGGCCGTGTGGAACGGCGTCATCACGCGTCTGCACGAGTACATTGATATGCGCTACCGCCAGCTGGGACCCATCTACCGCGAGAAACTCGGCAACATCGACGCCGTCTTCCTCTTCGACCCCAAGGACGTGCAGACCGTCTTCAGGCGCGAGGGCAAACATCCCAACCATTTCATCCCCGAAGCCTGGACCATGCATCGGGATATCACGCAGAAACCCCGTGGATTGTTTTTCATGTAAGTGCTGCTTCGCGCGGACGGAGTTTGCGTTCGCTGTTCAAGCACCGTAGCTGGAAAAATTCCGAACGATATTTTTTGAATCTAATTTTAAAATAATTTTTTATATTTTTTTAAAACAGTAAGTTTGCTCGGAGTATTCGGCATTTTAAAAAAATCTAAACAACGGAATTTATCGTGCGTGAGGGACAGGGACCTGCCGTACTGTAATTAGGGGCAATGTTGAGAGCTTTTTTGAAAGTCGTGTGTTGTTCTGCTGGGAACGCGGCTTAACGCATGTTTTAATCTGTGCGCTTAGCGGAAAAAGAGCAGCAAAAAACGTGATCAGCCGCTCAGCAATCGAGATTCTGCTATCTTGATCAGCCGGTTAATCGAGTTAAGAGGTTTTTGGTTATTGATGAGCGGTAGAGAGTGGATTCAGCCAGCTCACGATGGCAATCTCACACGACTTGATCGAGTTTTTTCTCTTCTCCCTCGGCATTCGGTTCGGCTATTGCATACTCGCATGCCGGAGATTTCCTTAAGAATTAAAACACTAACTAAATAAATAATTTTACCTAGGAGGCCATTCTTTTACATCAATTTAATTTTTTTAAAAATTTTATCCATCTTATTTTCCACAGTAGTTTTCCAATCAGGCAGAAACATTATTTTCCCCAGCAAAACTAAAAGGTTAGCGAATATTTTTTTTATTTTTATATTTATTTTTTAACCGACTGTTTTGAAAATGCTGCGCGTTTATCACAGAAATCAGCAAACAAAATCCAAGCCTAAAAGTCACTTTGATGTGTTCGGGAATTTTTGGTGTGCAGCAAAAACAGCTGATGGGAATTTGTTTGTTGGGTCGGGTACGACGTGTTAGCATGCCGGCAATGCGGGCACCAAGTTCCATCATACATGTGATACATGGGAAAGCCTCTATGCTGGACTTGGCGACGCGCAGTCAAATTCCAGTTGGAAGGCAACCTGTTGCGAGTTGCTACTTGCGGCTGATAGTAATCTACTGGCTATGCATTAGTGGCGTGCGCGCACCACATTTACGGTAGCAATTCATTTAAATAATGGACCTTGTTATCAGCGTTTGGAATTTGACCGCACTCGTATTATATCTGGGCCAATACAATGCAACAGCAAAAAAATGTTTGTGTTTCTTTGCCTGTAGAAAAAATGAAACTGTACACGAGATGATGATACGTTGTGCGTAATAATGTTTAATGATTTTATTTATAAGAAATCGCTCATTGTGGGCCTGCTTAAGCAAAGTCAGTCAAGGTGGAAAATACAATTTTTCTTTTTTATTAATTAACAACTTACATGAATGTATTTCTTGAAGTATATTCAATGAAAATTTTTGTTTTGTCAAATGAATAAGCAAAATCAACAAAAGTGAATAAATAAGGTATTGAAAATGCCAAGAATTTAAAATATCACAAAATTGTACGGTTTCGGCTGCGGAAACGCTGAAAGATAACTGCTGCATTAATCTGGCAAAGAAATGTCGTAAAAATCATTATTATAATTGCATTATTTACTGTAATTACGCTTTGTAGCCGGATGTGCGTAAATAACTGGGTGGGGCCGTTCTCATCAGTGTGCTCAATATATAAAAATGTAATTTGTGAAAGGGGGTTTTGTAAGCGTGAAGGGCATATGCAGTGGTTGGGTATAATCAAGGTTTTTCCATTCCATTAGTAAAATGTATTTTCAATAGGAATATTCTGTTATGCCGGGACGCGGCTGGTCAACCGCGTGTACAATATATGCATACTTTTGGCTGGTCCCTAGGAAAACACTGCGTATACTGTTATATCACTACAAAGCACCACAGTGATTATTATTTCCAGATCATTATACGGCACATCAAGCAAAAAAGATGAGTCTGTAATTATTTTTGTCTGAGCGGCGCCCGCGGCGCGAAGATGAGCAAAAGTCGCTCGAAAGTGAATGGGTAGAACAGAGTGCCAGAAAACATGCACACCATGGCGAAGGACGTGTAAGAATAAATTAGATAATTTCAGCCGTTTAATTTCCCGTATTAGATGAGTTGTCCATGCAATACACAAGCAGACAGGTGCGGATTTAATTATATGAGGATAAAGAGAATAGACAGAGAGTGAAAAAACACCCTTTGATGGTCATTGTGACGTGTTGACAAATATAAAGTATAGCTGACATTGGGCCTCCTTTGTGGACTGCGGTGTAGCGTACACGGCGGGGCAAAGGCAGACAATGTCATTGCGGTTGCGGCATCGGTTAACCCGGTTGTGAGTCCTTTTGTTCTTCTGGTTTCCCCTTATGCCACTAATGTGTCGTGTGGACGCATTCAGGTGTCCATCAAAGTTTTTAAATTATGATCTTGTTTACCGTCATACTACGCGCTCTTTTGATATGGAATTTCGCTGAAAAGCGGTTTATAATTTATAATGAAATGTTATTATCTGTCGCACGATAAAAACTGAAATTATTTCGGATGGCATGTAGTAAGAGAAGATTCAAAAAAAAGATATGTATTTGGCATAATTTATGTTTGCTATATGGCTATGTTCGCAAGCCGTGTGCACATCTTAGCAGTTTGAGCCATCACGCTACGATCTTCCATAGTTTTTTCGGATATCAGTACGCGAGACTATGATAAGCTTTGGTGCATGCGTAAAACTGTCGAGCAGTAGCTTGTTTACGAAAAGCATAAACTTACTGTTTTAACAAATAAATTTTACCAATAAATTGTTCCGAAATAATTTGTAATCGCCCTGGAAATTTAATTTTGCTCTAATGTTAGAGTGCCGTCATTTTTAGCCGGCGTAATGACAATTTAAAATACGTTTGTTTTTGGTAAGGATTTTCCTTGCGTTATTGTGAGTTACACACACATAATATGTGGCACTTTTTGCAGGGACGGCGAGCATTGGCAGAGCCGGAGGCGTGTCATGAATCAGCTGTTACTGCATCCGAAAGTGGTCCCCCAGTATGCTGACCGCATCAACGATACCGTCGACGATCTCATCGCCCGCTGGTCCACCATTAAGAAAGGTCACGACAATGTCGTGGACAAGGTGGAAGTGGAGATGTTCAACTGGTCCATTGAGTGTAAGAGCCGTACATCTTAACGCTATGGCGTGAAAAAAATTTTCCGAGCTGATAAATGATAATCAAAAGGAAAATATACGGCCGCCGGCGTGCGTAACAGTGTCGAAGAGAACTCTCTCTGTTTCTTTAACTCTCGCTTGCTGCGGCGCTGTCATAGCGGCCATTTCCGTCTTGCTTTCGCTTTCCACCGCGCTGACAGAGCCGTCGACAAGGAGGGAAAGTTAATCGAATGCGAAACTCACCAAAAAGAGTTCCGCATCTGCTTTGTTGAGCAAAAAAAGATGTAATGGCGTACAAACTGCGCCAGGCGTTGGATGACCGCAAATCTACCGCTTAATTACTTAACCAACGAACTCGCTGATCAATGAAAGCCGTCAGCTGTTGTAGATGAAAGAAGCATAGAATTAATAAAAATTCGTTATAAAATATACCTTGTGGAAAATGAGTATTAAAATTTGAATTTTTTGCAGGCATTGGCACGGTGATATTTGATCAGCGGATGGGCTGCTTAAGCGAGAACCGTCCGAATGATATTCAGCAGTTCGTCCGTTCCATACAGGAGATTTTCCGCACAACGATGATCCTCACCATGATTCCTCCGAAAATTGCGAAATTCCTACGTTTACCTGTCTGGAAACGATTCCTGCATTCGATGGATTTATCTCTAGCAATTGGTAAAGACCAAAGCAAATCCCAATCCACGGTGAAATAAAATAAAATAGGGGACAGGGCAATTATTTCAGCGAAACAGGTTGCGAAAATACCACCATCGAACTATGCAACGATAAATATTAATTATAAATATTTTGTGGAAAATAAATAATATTTTTATCGTTTATTCGCAGCCCGAAAATATATTTCGATGAGCATTGAGCGTGTGATGGCGCGGATGGATGCCGGCGAGAATGTCAATGATTTCTGCTCGGGTATTCTGGCGCATAAGGACTTTGATCTCGATGAGGTTGTCCGGTTAACCACTGATCTCTTCGCTGGCGCAGCTGATACGGTAAGAGTCTAAACGGAAAGATTATTTACTCGTATTCAAGTATTTGTCAGTAAATGATTAGTGACGCTTTTTGTCCTGTCAATGGGGGTGCACTTGAACATGCTGCGGCGCTGTATATAGCCGGATGGTGAAAATTGCCGCCGCGCGGCGGTAATTGTTATTTGGTTTTTTCGCTATTGAGACAATTCAGCAAAAGTAGAGCGACAGATGTCGATGGGTGAAACACACTCCGCCGGAGAGCCGTAATTAATTGTTGTTTGTGGTCGGCCTTATGGCTTCAATTAGGCGGTTTACTCAAACTACACCACTACAATCGGCACAGACACGTGCCGCCGCCGCACTCACAAATTTAGGCGTTTTTGTTGCTGGAAAAACCCGCATTAAATATCTGACAGATTCTTTAAAAAACTAGTAACATTAAAATTTTTTAATCATAAATTCCAGAAAAATAAAATAGTTTTTTTTTAAATAAATAGCTTTAAAATAATTACCAATAAATATCCATTAGTTTTTATATGGCACCAAATTCCCTATGACTTGAAAAAGTTTATCGTTAAATCGGCCATAAAATCAGTTTACTTTCAGTATATTTACTAGCTATAAATTCTTAAAAATGCAACCAAAATTTAGGAGAAAATATAAATGTGTCAAAGGTCCGCGTAAGAAGATGACCTTTAACCAAACTATCCCGCGTTAATCGATTTGGCTAGAGAACTGGACAGATGTTGTCGAAAACGGAATTCCCGGTAGCGGTGTGGTGCACGCGTCTGCAGTGCACTCGTCACTGGAAAATTATAGCAAAACCATGTGTTTCATCATTGCTTTGGACCGGCAGAACCGTACCTTACACCTTTCCGCCCTGAGTGTTACGCGCACCGCATGCACCTGGGCGGTTGGTACTCTAAAGATCACCGGTCTAATTTCATTCCACTGCCCGGTTAAGCAAAGGGGAAAATAATTTATCAGCTTTCGATACACACTGCACTAGTGTTTTTCTCTTCGCTCTCTGCCCGCCTAATCATTCTTCACTGATCTGACATTGAAAAAGTGAAAGTCGTGATCTGTAGAGCGAGATCTCCATCGCATATATCGGTAATCGATTATAACGGCGAAAAGCAAACTGGTTTTCCCCGGCTTATTGCGTAGGCGCTCGCCGGTTTCTGAAATATTTTGATCCAAATAAAATACCGTTGGTTAAATTGGAAAATGAATAAAATAAATGGAAAATAAAAGAAATTTAACTTTGAAAAAAATGAAAGAGCTATACAAAAAATTAAAAAAATTTAAAATAACTAGCGTTTTTTAATATTTTTATAGAGGTTAAAAATAAAATAAATTGTATAAAAATTCGGTTGATAAATTCAAAATTATATTTTATTTCTGGAGTGATAATTAGTAACATAACTTTCCTGGGCGTCAATGGCGGTGTTTTCTGAGAAAACTTGTTAGGCTATTGTGTCCTGGCGAGTCCTTAATAAGCACCGCAAGAATTCCCATAGTGCAATGGAAAGGACATGTGAGGACAGATGACGATGCGTGACACAATTGATCTGCCTGATTACAAATCGCTAATTAGCGCCAGACAATAGCGTCCTCATCGTGACATCATATTGTATCCCTACAAAAGTGGTGGCGCGTGTCGGCGGCGGCGTTGTATGTGTCCCGACAGAGAGAAAAAGCGCTGTTTGATGATAGACTGTGTATACTGCGTCTAGTCACGCTAGACACAGTGCGTTGTTGTGTCTACACAGGGTTAAAGTAGCCGCTTGTGATGATATTATGTAGAGCAAATTAACAGCTCACTGGCTAATTATAATGCGGGAGAAACAAGTGTATAATATCGTGCATGCGTGCGCTGGTGTAACGTTGGATGCGTTCAACAGGTGTCCAACGCCATGGCTTGGGCGTTGTATCTCATCAGTCAAAATCCCGCGGTACAGGAGAAGATTTATCATGAAGTCAGCCAGATTGTACCCGTCACCGGACAGAGCATCACGCCCGAGATGCTCAAACAGATGAAATATGTCCAGGCCGTTATGAAGGAGACTTTAAGGTAATAATTACGCGTCCAGCATTTTCCACCGGTTGATACACTACAAATAAATATAATACAAAGCAGAATTATATTCCTGATGTTTGAAAACTCTTATTATATAAATATGTACTATAAATATAATTACAAATGATTTTTATATCGGCTGGCCAAGAATAAAAAAATCCGAATTCTACTATTTGAATTTGTTAATAATATCCGGATTATTTTATTGCGATCAAAAATGCCGTATCGGTTAACGCATTGCGTTGGATTTTAAAATTTGCTTTGCTTGTTAGATTGTACCCGGTGGCACCGTTTCATACCCGGTATCTGGACGAAGATATCACCATCAAGGGCTACAACATTCCAGCTAACGTAAGAATTATCCACAAACAGTAAATTAATCATATTTGCCGTTCCGTATTTCGGAAACTCGCTTATGGCCGATCTCGTATTGATAGCCATCTGTTGTGCGATTATGTAACCGGTAGCGCCACGCTGTCTGGCCCTACTTGTAATAGACTTGTCGATTAAGATGATCATACATTCTTCAGACAAAAATAAATCACAAATTTGACGTAACATTAATACTGCGCAAATTTATAAAGATGAATAATTCGCGACTTTATCTAGTTCATTTATAAATACTCGCAATCGCTGGCTGATGTAAATAAATTAATAAATGATTTTTTTTCATTGTACAGACGCTGATAATGATGGGAACGTATTCCATGGGACGTGATGAGAAGAATTTCGAACGCGCCAGCGAATTCATTCCCGAACGCTGGTTCCGTGATCGCAGCGATCCCGATGACCGGGAGAATAATCTTGTCGCTAATTACGCCACCATGCCCTTTGCTTTTGGTCCCAGATGTTGTGTTGGTAAGAATTATTTTATAATTATTTTATTCCAATTAATTGAAGCCTTTGAAATTCTAAAGATATTAATGAGAGTTTTCTGCAGGTCGTCGACTAGCGGAAACGGAAATGCATATGCTTCTTGCAAAGGTGAGTCAGCGTAATTAATTTCCTTATTGAAAAGCATAGGAATAAATGGCCAGAATAAAAATAAATTAATTGTACAAATATTTTTTTAATTTTTTAAATAATTGAAGATAAAGTAAGCCGCAGTGGCATAATATTTTGCGCAATTACTTACGTAATTCTCTGCAAGAAGATGTCAAGATGAAGATCTTTTTTAGCTTTTAACTAGTCAAGCCGGCCACTCGCGCAACACCGCTGGGAGAGAATTGTATTTTTGTATGGATTATAAATTCGATCAAAACACATTTAAAACACATTTAAAATCCTGTTTTACTACTTGACAATTCAACAGGCCGCTCATCATTGACAATTTTCGAAAAATGATTTCATAAAAAATCATCCCACTGTGCTGCATACTGCGGTGTGGAATTACATACGAGGTTTTGAGGGTGTTAATCGGTGTTAAGAAAAATACCATTTCCAAATTGGTGAAAACGTTTCTGTCGCACTAATTTCCCGCACAGCAACAATAGCGCCGATCAGGTGATCGTTTTGCCGTTATGCCAGTCATGCGAGCATAGTTTAAGCGTAACAACGCCGCAGACTTGTCGCGTATATATTTAATCAGTATAATTATGCCGCTATGTAGGTCAGCGCTATTGTTATTAGGGAATAATTACCGTGTGCAATCGGCCGATGATGGCATTGTTGGTGCAAAATTCTCTCCTAATTGCAATTGATCCAATTACTTTCTCCAGCCGTGATGTGACATCGGTTGCAGTGTTCTTGTCACTGACAAAGAGACAACGCAGCTAATTGACAGTAGTGTTTTCTATCGGCGTAATTTTACGTTTCGAGGTCAACAAAATCATCTGTCAAAAAATTAATGCGATGAGTGGTCGTTTTTTTTAAAACAGGGTAATTAATTGTCGACTAAATCTTGTCAGCGCACATTTTTTCGCTTTGCAGACGTTTGTTTAAAAAAAATCGGCTATATATGTCTTGCGGTTGCATATAGAACATTTTACAGAATTTTTTCAGCATTATTTTGTTTTTTGCTTATCCTGCGAAGCAAATTAAATTATTATACATTTCTTTTAATTTCAAAATTCATTCCAGATTTTTGATAACTAATTTTGGTAGTAATTAAAAATTAAATTTGAATACTTCAGGTCATAAAAAATTTGTTCCATTTTTCTCTTTTATATGGCCATGCAGCTGCTGTACTGCGCTTGTATGCAGAGATTAATAATTTTTTTTATTTTTCAGTTAGTGCAAAAGTTTAAAATAGAATACGCCAGCGACAAACCGGTGGATATCGACTTGCGCATGATCACCGCGCCCAAACAGTCCATCAAATTGCGCTTCATCGAACGCCAACCGCAGCCTAGCGTGTAAAATTTATATATGCGCGTATGCACAGACATCGCGATATCGTACCAACGGGAACTCCATAGCCGAAAGTACCTGCGAAAAAAACGATAATCCTAAAAACCCATATAAATTGGATACGCGGATCTCAGCCGAAACAGAGTGCGCCTCGTTGGATTTGTTGGGTGGTGTTTTTTTATACATAATGCAGCAGTGTTCTCGCCTCATTCCTCCTCGATTCAGCGATCTCCCCCGAATATATATATTTGATCACAGCGATATTTTTTATATCTCTCTCTTTCTCAAATTCCCCCGTCATTTCTCCCGCCGGCAACTGCAAATGACCTCGTGTGGCAAGTGGCCATTTTTTGATCATTCTGCCTGTACGAATCTCTCCAGGAATTCCGAGTCGCATTCGGCGCGATTCATCTGTATCTGACCCTTTCCGGCTTTGTATGTGGCATTCTTCCTGGTGTTTTCGGAAACGGAAACACTCTCTTTTTGTTTACTATGGGATAGACTATGGTCTTGCTGTATTTATGCCTTATTTATTTATTTTTTTTTGTTAAATTTTCTCCGGTTGTGATTCGCCCAGACATTCGGCCGCGGCGTGAGAATAATTTTACCGGGTTCAGTCCGGGGGAATTTGTTCGACTTCATGCCTGATTCGGAATGCTGAATGAGTGATGCAATGGTCGAGAAAAAAATGGGTTTTTATGATTGTACACTGTTAAATTACAGTTTTCAGAGATCTATTATTGATTTACAATTAGTTTTGATTTGTTGTTGGATTTTTCTGGAGAAATTTATTTTTATTGTGTGCACCCGCGTGTCCATGCGGTTTGTCGTAATTTGTCTGGTTTGTGTTGGGCAACGGTGGTCCGTTTTTGTACTTGTCGCTGTTTTTTTGCCTGTAATTTTTGCTTGTGCATGATGCTGGAAGCAAATAAACATTTGAAAAATCTATATGCGACCGGTTTTGAATGTAATTATTAAATACGTAAGTCCGCAAAATAAATTATACACCCCACAGATATCCAAGCCCCGGTTGCTACACGTACTGTTCAAAATAATTTTTTTGCAAACTTCTTGTATCTATAGTTGCTTTCATAAATATTTCGTTTGAGTAAAATGTAAACTACGTTCTACTGACGATCTTAACAAAGTTTATGATTTCAACAAAGTACGTGATCGCCACATAGTGCACCGGAAGTGTGATTTTTGAACTTGGTAAACCGATCGTTGTTAATCCCCATTTCATTATTCCAGTTACCAAAGACTTATTTACTGAAATCTTATGCAAGGATATTTGTGAAAGTGACTTTTTCTTAATGCCGGCCTTTCCCCAGCTTAATGTTTCCGTTAAAATAAGCAATATTATAATATCATTATGTATTGACGATGACAAAAATAAGTTATGTACTGTGACCTCGTACTATGTAATATATCGCATACGAGATATTTCAACAGATACATTTTTATTACAAGGCAAAACATGAGCGAATAAGTATAGAAGTATCGAAAAAAACAAAACGGAGTATCAGTAAAGCATACCTAGCTAAACTTAGCACTCACTCTACAGCCAACGTACTGCATCTTCATTTTGAAAGCCGAATCAAGCCGAAATATCTATATTTAACAATAAAATACAGTTCTGGCAGTCGGCACTCGGAAGACATGCAAAATATTACAGTATCTTCAATCCTGGATTCTTGCAGTCGTATAGAAGTATAGATATTAATTTCTGCGCCGGCACAGAATCCCGGAAATTTGGGTTTTAATTATTTTAATTCCTTATGCACTCCACAAAATCTAGCAGCGACATAACTTTGCACACATAAAGTACAATGTATACTTACTGTACGTATTTTTTTGTTAGTTCTGTCTGAATCTGGGTATATTCACTTTTGCAAAATTGTTAACTGTTACATTTTGCAAACTTTGCAGCGTCGAAGTGCAAATTGGTATAAGTACTTGTACATGGGTTCTTCTTCTACATGACGCTTTTATCTACCACCGGAAGCGAAAACCCAAAACACTAGCGCCCCGTGGAGGAAGCCCATTCAGCAGTTCTAGTGGATTTGTCATTTGAGTTCAAATTTCTTTCTGACTATTTTCAATTTTCATTTTTCACGGTCAGTTTTTCGATTTCTTTTTCTCTTCTGCTGGTTTAATTGTTTTGTTCTATTGGCAATCCGAAAAGTTGTAGAAAAAAGCACTATTACTACCACGCGCAAACAGCAATCGTGCAATCTGTACAAGGCAGAGCACAGCTTGGCCAGGATGATCCGTGTGTTAAAAACCAGCGTGCTGCTAGCTACCAACACCACCCGTCGCGTCCCGGTGCGCGGCGTCAACTACAAATGGGAACCCCAGTACGAGTTCATACCGAAACTGCGAGTCCAGCGCAAGTACAAGGAACGTTTCGCCCCGGAGCCCCTGGACACGGAGGAGACGTACACGGACGTGGTGGAATCCGCCGAGGACTTCAAGTACGTCCTGCCCTACCTCCCGCGCGACACCATCCCCCCACTGCCCGCCGAAACCCTGACCAACTACCCCACCCCCTCGGGATTCATTCCGCCGCTGCCCCAGCCCCCGGCCCTCCCGTACTTCATCGGGCGGACCGTGTACCACAACCTCCCGGTGTACAGTTTCGCCACGGATCCCTCCAGGTTTTTACGCGGATAAAGTACGTCGAGGGCGACATTTGGAAGTTCCAGCAGGATCTGGTGGATTTTCTGCGGGACAGGCTGCCCGAGTATGAGGGCTTCATTGCCACCAAGGTGGATGAGGCGGCGCGGCAGGTGTGGGTGAAAGGGGATATTGTCGGTCCTGTGAAGGAATTTTTACTGGAAAGCGGATTTTGAGGGTGCCAGCTGTGGGTAATAGGCTAGGCTCACCACGCCACCAGATGCTGTTTTTGTACGATACTTTGATGTACGATATTTTAATGGAAGAGAAATCTTATTGCTGTAAGAACAGTAAGATCAGTGTTGTTAGAAACCATTAAAATTTTGCATAATATGAGATTGCAGGTTACGTTTCATCGATGATAAAATGATAAAGTTTACCACGAAAAATGATGCGAAAACAGAAGATTATAAAAACTTGAACGTATTAGCGCGACCATGCTTTTCCCTGTAGCAAATAGCTGCATCACTTCGGTACGGAGATTTTACCGTAAAACAGTTAAACTAGGAAAGATTCAACGACCGGGCAAAATTGATTTCCCGAAGCTTCTCGGATTGAAGTTTACGTCCGTGCCGGTCCATCCTAGGCTGACATAACAAGAATAAACACAATAAATTTATCAGACGACTTCCCCGGGCGAGTGATAAGATACGAGCGCGTCTCTGGAGTTCAAAACCCAGCGCTCGTAATCACATGCATAACCGTACCGCACACGGTGCGTTCCCTGTTCGACCCATTGACCAAGTTGTGTGCTGTTGACGGAAAATCATGTGGCAATAATACACAGCTGTGCATTTTATCATTTTCTGCACGATTATGCACAGTTTGAAATATTTGTAATCAGATAGAAATTTGCTGGTTCAACGTCCGTGGGGAACATCACAAGGTCTGATTCATATTTAAGGAATTCTGCGCCCGGCAGACGTCTTTCAGTCGGCGTTGCCCGCGCGAAAACAAGTCTGCAGTATTTATTGCGTTAGAAATCTCTGGATGCTCGGTGCAGGTGGTTTGGACGCGACACGTTCACGGTTGGTTTTTGAGATTGTCCTTTGTTGTCCTTGAACGATCCTGGTGGAAACTGATGGGGGTTTGGTTTGCAGATGAAGGTTTTAGTTGTTCTGGTCGTTTTAGCCGTGGCCTGCAGTGGCGCACTGGCCCGCAGGAAGGCGGTGAAGAAACTGCCTCATCATCAGCCATTTTCAGCTGATTTGATTAGGTGAGGCCGTGAGGGCGTTTTTCCATTCGCTTGGATTTGTTTCTTGCGGTTCATGAATTCAACGAGGTTTTTATTATTTACAGTTACATCAATGAGCTGAACACCACATGGCGAGTAAGTGATAAAATTCAGTATAGTCATGAAATTATTTTTTTAAAAATGATGATGTATTTATGATTAGTAAATAAAATTTGTTGACAGCAGTGCTGACAAACTATTGTGAATTCATTTAATTTGATAATTATAATAATAATTAATTAAAATATTTAAATAATAAAATTTAATTTTTTTAATAACATTTTTATGAAAACTGGAAATTCATATCTTCTGCAAAATTTTATGCAGGAATAGTTGGTGTGAATAATGTAATAAAAATATTTAGGTTAACAATTTTTTAACGGTTGTTATTTAGACGATGGAATATGGATGACAGTGCCGTTTGTTTTAGGCTGGCCGCAGCTACATGGACCATCTGCCGTTGCACCAAGTGAAGCGCATGTGCGGTACCATTCTGGGCGGACCCCGTCCCCCGGTGATGCTGCACGCCAAGAACGGCTACAAGGATCTGCCCAAGGACTTCGACGCCCGCACGCAGTGGCCCAACTGCCCCACCATCCAGGAGGTGCGCGACCAGGGCGCCTGCGGATCCTGCTGGGTAAGCTTGCTTTTCTGCAGAATGACTTGGCAATTCGTGGTGCAGAAATATTGGATAAGCTGCGAAACAACAGGTTTTTCCGGAATTTTGTGGAAATATATAAGTACTTTTATTTCGTACTTCCAGATAAAGTACTTTTTAGCTTAATTTCCGGTTTTTTATGGTTCGAAGTGTGTAAAAGTATTGGGAAAAAATTACTGGGAGGTATTTGCATGATACAGTTAACATTTTTGTGGCGTGGGTTGAACCGGAAGTGACTAATCTTTTTACTGTGTAATTCTAACATTCCATCTCTCCGGCTGTTCTTTCGCTTTTCGTATTTTGTCATTTTCGCACGGTTAATTTTGACGGCTTTTAAAGCGTGCACGATGATAACGGCATGATTGCATTGAAAGGCGTTCGGTGCGGTGGAAGCCATGTCGGATCGCTACTGCATCCACTCTAACCTGCAGGAGCATGTGTCCGCTCAGGATCTCTTGACCTGCTGTGATGAGTGCGGATTTGGGTGAGGCCATGGCTTGGGCTTACTAACACTGCATGTCTGCGCTTTTGTTTTCTGTATGCATGTGCCAGCTGCTTCGCCTTCTCTGTTCCTTCTCTTTTTTCCGTTCAGGCTGAAAAACATAGCAAAGCTTCCGTTACATCGATTGGTAGTTGGTACTATTGCTTACTTTACCGTTTACGAATTATGTGTAGATTTTCGAGCTTTTATTACCACTTTTCGGAAATTTATTCAAGAATACAACGTCTGTTCACACAACTGTGATACACAGATATTTTCTCGATAATTTATTTTAAGAAATATTTATGAATACGTGTATTGTGTAACCCTGTCCATGTCCCTGGTTGTATGTCAACAGGCATTCGGTGCCACCGAAGCCATGTCCGACCGTATCTGTGTCCATTCCAAGGGGAAAATCAATGTTCATGTGTCGGCCATTGATTTGGTCACCTGTTGTCATCGATGCGGATTCGGGTACGTCGCTAATTATTAAACAGTCGTGTTATCGGTTAAAGGTATAATATATGTTTTCCCCGGCGATGTTCATTCTGCTGTTCGTTTGCGCAACGGAAACTCACGCATTTTGTGGACGTGAACGTAATTGCATTTTAATGTGTAACAGGTGTGACGGTGGTTTCCCCGGTTCCGCCTGGGACTACTGGGTGTCGGACGGTCTGGTGAGCGGTGGTAACTACAACAGCAACCAGGGCTGCCGACCCTACACGATCCAGTCATGCGAGCACCACATCAACGGCTCCCTGCCGCCCTGCGGACCCACCCAGGACACGCCGTCCTGCGATCAGAAGTGCGAGCAGAGCTTTAACGACACCTACAAGCACGATAAACATTTCGGTGAGAGGCTGGCGGTACAATAATTATGTTAGTACGTGCGAGTTGTTTTCGTTAAATTTATACGCAATTTGCGATTGTTTGACTTACAAAGCTCTCTTTTTTAGACGGCATAAATTACGTTAATATTTATAATAAAATAATATTTTTATAATACAAATATCTAAAAAGATTAGCAATTTTGTACGATTGATATTATTACAAAATCGGCATTCCGCGTGGGGTGGGTGTTTATAAGTTTTAACACAATAATTACGCAATAACAATTCAGGAGTAAAAAGTGAATGCCAGTTTCTTCAAAATGTATTATCTGTTCATTTAACGGCGCGCCGCTTTTCGTAGTCGGGTATTGTTATCCGGGGCTCGCAGCCACTGCTCTACCTTTGTCTTAATAATAGTGGTAATTGTTTGCAGGTGGTAAATCCTACTCAGTTAACTCGGATCCCACCCAGATCCAGATGGAAATCTTCACCAACGGCCCGGTGGAAGCCGCCTTCACCGTGTACGCTGACTTCCTCAGCTACAAATCAGGTACAGTGCAATCGCATGGAAAAGCGATAAATTCCGCTGCGGCATGGAGTAAAAGTGCTTTTATCAGGCAACCGCCATCGGAATAATCGAGAAGTACCGCAACACCACTACATAATAGTAAAATCGGAACTACTAACGTCAAAAAAAGTCGTAGAAAAAAATTAAAAAACTCTATATTAAGAAAATAAAAAAATCGATATATTTTCTTGGATTTTTATTAATATATATTGTTGCAGGTGTGTACCAGCACAAGAGCGGTGCGGAATTGGGCGGTCACGCCGTGAAGATCCTGGGTTGGGGTGAGGAAGACAGCACGCCCTACTGGTTGGTGGCCAATTCGTGGAATCCCGACTGGGGTGATAAGGGCTTTTTCAAGATCCTCCGCGGATCCGACCACTGCGGTATTGAGAGCGAAATCACCGCTGGATTACCTTAAATGATGCCAGTGCAGCACTGCAGCGTGATCTTAATGTTTCATCGAGAAATGGTTGTCAGTTTCGATATCGGCTTGTGATAGTGTTTTGTCTCTTTTACGGAATTCTTCTAACAATGTTTTTACTGCTTTCGGATCATGTCCGGAAGGTTTTTTAGTATCGCATGGTTTCTTAGTTTTATAAGTTTTCTGTCATTAAAACAAGCGAAAGAAATTGGAGGTGTTTGTTTGACAAGTGGGGTTGCTAACTTGCGTTAATGTGTATTCGCATTTTAATTTTCTTACGATACAGTTAATACAGATTAATCACCGGAACTAAAAACGATTATCAAGATTTATAAAGGGAGAAATAATACGGAGATGGAATGGGAATTGGAAAAGCCTTAAAAAATAATTCATGAAAATCATATACATATCTGTACACCGAACCAGACCCGGGATGTAGTCCGATTTGAACGGGGGTTAAATAGTATCATAATAATATCAGTACTGGTTGGGACAATCACGATTTTCAGCACTTGAAAATTATTGCTCACGTCGGCTATTAATCATGTACCGTAGTACACCTACATGTTACACAAGTTATCGGCAAATAGTAGATGTTGCAGTTAGCGCTGCACAATCGAAAATGCTTTGTTACCCACTGTTCGAAATTTTTATTCAGATTACTGCAGTCGTCCAAAAATATTGCGGGAACTGCCGACCAGATCAAATCAATTAATGGTGAAGCTCTGGAAAACTTAAGGATCGTCTAAACTCGATCTTACAAAAATTCTTCGACCTTAGCTTCCACTGAAAAATTCAGAAAACCATACAGTATATGCATGGGTTTACCGACCATAAACCTTGTACAGATTACCGGTTTACACCGGCACAGAGATACATTATCCGTGAAAGATAATATTATACTATTGCATTTTTGTACTAGCTTGTACACTACACTTAATTTTAATTTTGCATTGCACAGCGGTAACATTAAAATGTACATGCACGTAAGTTAACAAAAAGATTATAATGCGCGTAAAACAATTTGACAAAGAAACAACAACACACCACAAAAAAAATCAGCAATTCGAGTACGGTAGTAATGCCGATTGATAACTTTTGCGTAATACTTGTACTGATAACAGTACACAGTTAATTAATTGTGGTCTAAATAAATTATTTTGAATTTAAGTCAACACTTCTCCATTTATCTGTACGTACCGGTACGACTATAATTATGTATAATATGAGTATGTCGGAAGTGCACTGAAAAATATCTGATGGCGGCAGCTATTAGGGAAGCCTAATAGTCACCAAATCCCAACGTTAACGCGGTCTTTGCAACGGCTTCTATTAGCGTGTTCGCCGCTAAAAGAGAACCGAATCCAGCGCGACTGGTAAAATGACCTGTATACCTCGAGCTTGATGTGTATAACTTCCGACACTCTAAGCAACCCGACCTAGTTAAGGCAGTGAAATGGCTTATGGTCCCTTTGCTAAAAAAATGATTACCGAATGCATTAAGTATTAGCGTTTTAAAACATAAGCCTTCCGTATTTGAAAATGGCCGAAGTAATCGTTCACCGCAGTGACCACCGCGCACATTGACCCCACAATGGCTGGCAACATCAGCTGCCCAAAATTTTCACACGGCCACGAAAACCTCTGTAACTAAAGTGGGCGTAAGAAGTTTGACGTTAAACGATACATAAAAGCATGTTCAGCTTAATGGTCGCACTTTTTCGATTCTCAGAAATTTTGCTTCACAAGTAACGAAAGCAAAAATTAAAAGTTTTGTAACTCGCCATTGAATCGTTATATCGAGACATGCAGGGTTGGGGCTCTGGCGCTGATCGATTCGAACATTTACGAAATCAGTTACCGTAGGTAGCTATCCGTGAGTTGTCGTGTATGTAATAAGAATCACCGGAGATGAGGTTCACTGGTTAATCTTCTTGTTCCGTGTGTCTTCATGTAGTAACAATTAAGGACTCGGCAGTCGGGACGCACTTCCATATTCTGCACGAACGTGCCTTTTAATTAATAAGAATTTACCTACGGTCACTGACAAACCATTGTTTTAGCTTTCAGTCCTGTTAAGTGTTATCGCCCTGCGATGAAAAAGTTTTCTTTTTTTCGACATTTCTCCGTAATTATAACGCAACCTATTCGAGAATGTTGCAAGCAGCCTAAGACTGTTTTGGCCAAGCTGAAATAAGATTATGACGTTGTTGGGGAAGTTTTGCGATAGCTGAGCTGGAGCAAACTCGGGCAAATTATGAAAGCCTACAGATACCGGAAAACAGGCTCGGAAAACCACGGACTTTGAGCAGGTTGCAGTTGGTACGTTTGCATAGTGACATGTGAACTTCAAAAACTACAGTGTGGCGAGGCGATAAAATTAATGTGTTGTACAGGCTGCAGAGTTTGCAGTACAGGTTGTGTTGTACTTTGTACATGTACATACAAGTATTAAATCAACGCTTGCTAGCGACTGTTAATCTTATGCTTTACAATACTTACGGTAATCACTGTACATGCACAACAAAACGCACGCTTCCTATCGGTACTATCAATACAGTGCTAGGAAAGAATTTGAGAACTAACAGTGGCTGCTACACGCAGTACTCGTAATCTGTCAAGAATGCAGAAACACTCGCTTACTGGTTACTCTGTAAAACATTCAGTGGACAAGAATCTGGCTCACGAAAGTCCGCTCGGCCAATGATATAATGCTGCAATGGCGGATCAGTATTACAAACACCGCGATAGCGTTCAACAGGAACTGGGCAAACTGTCCAGCTCCATCCAAGAATTCGATCGCCGACGTGCTCATAGAACGTCCGCCAGCGCTCAGACCGGTAAGAATGTTTTACCCCTGGACAACGTGCTCCCGGATGGCAACCTTCAACCGGGGATCCTGCGCAGTCTGGCTGAAGCGGAAAAAGCCCTTGACTACTTGGCACGCTATGTCGACTTTCAGGCCGCCTGTCGTAAAGTACCACGGGAAGAACTATCCAGCAGGAAATCAACAGTGGCTGGATACCGTAAAGAACTGGATACTTTGCGACAGAAATTTCAGTTGATGACCATGGCCACACAGCCCGCGCCTGTCGGGAACTGAAACCAGTCTGTGCGTTTTTGAGCTGTGTATTTAAGGTTTCAAGTGATATGTTGTATACCGCAGTTAATTTTAATTCCGTGTTGCACAACGTTAAATCTCTTTTACGCTCCAGATTGGATGAAATTATAGCAGTTTGCTTAATTTTACCAAACACACAATAGAAATAGGCAATACAGATATGAATAACAAATGTCCGCGTAGTAATAAACAATTTTAATACATCAGTTATAATCACCAGTATACATACAAAATTTAATACGAACCTTGTCATTTGCACCAGTCGAAATATTTCGTGACGTTGTATCAGCTGTATGTATACGTCTGATGTATAAGAAATGTTTTTCTCTGACACAGAGTAGTTTATTTTTCTTGGCATCTGCTGACAAGCATTCCTTGAACGATAGTGAGCTGCGTGGCCGCAGCGGTGCCTCGCTGGTATTCACACTGCTGACATACTTCATACACAGCGCGTCAATCTTCGCGAATTGACGGATGATCTTTTCCAGTTTCTTGTACACCGTTTCCCGTTCATCGACACTGAGACGATGCCCCATCAGATAGAACAGCACGCTCAAGAAGTATGCGTAACTGCATTCCATCTTGCGCTTGCTGTTGCTGGACACTTGTGTGACATCTGAAGAAAAGGTCATTTAATCCTTACGGCACAATACTCTTCGTCGGTGGTTGACATACCGGGAGAAAACAAACCAACGGTTAGCAGGAGATAGCGCTCCGTGAGGTTCAAACCGATATCGTTCACCGCAGCGTAGAAGCAGTCGTTGAAGTGCATAAAGTCCGGATCCCAACCCAGCACCTCGATCCAGTACTTACAGTTCTGCACGCTGTCCTCCCCCGGCAAACAGTAATATCTGTCACCTTTGTAGAAGTATTTGCTAACATGGATCTACAAATGCACATCGTATTTTACTGTACTTCCATAGAATATTTTTGGTGATGACCTTGCTTATGCTGGCATACATAACCAACTAATCATATAAATGTACGATAACAGGTACATCCTATCATGCTCATATACGCTTACAGATAGAGTACATCGACTCGTCAACAGGGTGACGAAATATATACATTTATCGCTAGAAAACTGGAAAATTCCAGGAAAAAAGCTTTGTCAGCTTTCCGTTTTTCTTATATATATTTGCGCAGAAAGACTGCCTCGATGAAACACATACTGTATGCGTGCACGCACGCATATCTGTACCATGCTGCATACGAAAAACTTTTCCGTTTGTAGGATACGCTGGTCTTCGTTTGGAAAATCGCGAAACATAGGAATACATGACGCAAAATGTCCTATACGCTGGGCTTGATCCACAACAGCGCGCTGACAAGCCTCGGCAGCGCGGGCCGGAGTTGTTTGCGGTTGATGCTTCAGCGAAAGAAAGAATCCGAAAGCAGTTGTTAAAATACTGTAGCTTCAGATTTTGCAAAGTTTCTTCCTTAACCGGATTACTGTATACCAGCATGTACAGATTTCTGCACAACACGTCGTATTAACAGACAATTTTATTAAAGAAGCTAGCCACGGTCTTAGGACTGTGCAGTGCCTGTAATTTGTAAATAAGGCAAAGGTCACTATAAAAACCCAGTGTACATCTGATAACATTGTGAGAATTTCGATCGGTTTGAATCCATTTTGTTGTACCTTGCACGTAAAAGTACAGTAATTATTTCATCAGTTCCAGACATACACATTTACAGTGACCTACTGGTATTAATCCATCACACAGCGCTGCCTTCATAAAACTGTCGTACACCGCAATTTGGTCACCGTATGCAGCGTCGCGCGCTGCGCGCACATTGCCAGCAGCTTGCTGGAAATTGATGCTGTGCTCTCGGACCAAATCCCAGAAACGAACAACGATGGGCGATAAGACGACCGAATGGGTCAGTAGATCGGGGCTCGCACGCGGCAATAAATCGGTGCATTGTGTATCCACATCTGAAAGCAAAGGTCGAATACATATGAACTCAGGACTAGAGATGGCAAAACTAAAAAAAACTAAACTAAACTAAACTAAAACTCGGTTAAAAGTTGAAGTTGCTAAAATTGACTTGGTTAAAACTTTTAGTCGGCTAAACGTCGGCGACTAAATTTTTTAGTTGTTAACCTGAATTTAGTTAAAAATTTTAACCGGTTAACCAAAGTTAACCGAGACTAAAGATAAATTTTCTGTTAAAATGTTTTCCTTATTCTATACAGTGGGTGTCACTATCGCGGCGAAATGGTCCCACCTGTCGCCATAGTGTCATTAGTTCCGTATAACAAATAAAAACAGAATCAAAATTTATTCGGCCTTCAGAGAACAATAAAATTTTATTTTGAAAATATAAGCTACAGTAGAAACAAATCCGTAATTGTATAATGTACATAATTACTGGAAAAACTGTCAGTACTGCCAGTACATGCATATTACACACTTCATAGGGCCATTACACAGTACAGTACTTCAATGTAAAGCCATGCAGGTACTGTAACTGCATTAGAAGATACAATACGCCATGCGCTACATTTACGATTAAATTGAAGTACTGCACGCATACTATGCAGTGCGCCGATCTGGTTGCGCAGTTTGTACTTGAAAATTATGAAAAAACCACCGTCTCTTGCGGTCCGCCATTGCGCTGGGAATAAATTTCGGTTAACCGGTTAACCGCTGAGTTTTAGTAGCTAAAATCTACTCGGTTAAAAAAATTTAGTTACTAAAAAGCTCTTGACTAATTTTTTTAGTCACCAAAGTTGGTTAAACTAATTTTTTTAGTTTTAGTCGAGTTAACCGAAGTTAACCAACTAATTAGTCGACTAATTTTAGTTTTGCCATCTCTACTCAGGACCTGATATGCTACATTTTCTTCATTTACTAATTTATAGGTGCCATGATTATAGGACATACAAATACGGTTTGAACAGGATGATTCGATTGAAACTGACTGATTGGGTTGAAATTGGTTTTAACGAGAAGATTACATTTTTTAATTCTCAGCAAACAAATAGCAACGAAGCCAAGATAATTAAACCATTCTCGTAATAAACACCTATCATACTAACTGCAACTTCGCGCCAGATCGCGGATAGTTGCTGGGCCTGTTTTATGAATGTTGTGTGTGTTGAAGTGACCTCTTTCTCCGAGAATGACTGTGTTAGGCGCTGGTGTTACCGTATGTGATACTGTGCTGCTTTTTGCTCGAACATCTTTAGCATCTTTAGCAACATCTTTAGCATCTTTAGGAAATGCTGGAACATCTTTAGCACCTGCAAAACCACCTTAATATTGTTGCGGACCATTTAGGATACCCATAACCGTAAGGTGTGCAAAAATATAAGTAACACAGCGAGTTACAGATATATTTGTGCCGATTAGAATTCTACATGTGTACATATCTATAGTTTGTAATTCCGTGTGGGGCACACAGAAACACAAAGTGGCTACTAAAGTAAACAAGGCGGATCCAGAGCTGTCTGTAGTACGATATTTCAGACAGCTCTGGATCCGATACTACCCTAGGTATTAGGTACTACCTGGTGTACGGCATCGTCTTACTTCGAGATTGCTGTCATCATAATTATTACCTCTGGCAGATGGCAAATTCTCGTTTTCTAGGTGCTCATCATGCGCCCGCGTTGTACCTGAAGATGACACTCATTAGTCTCAAACTAAGCAAGAGCAACAACTATGAAAGAAGAGTGTGCAAGAACCTCTTTATTTGTGCCCCTGTATGTACATACCGATAACGTTCGCTCGAGAAGAAGATGCCCGGGCTGATGTCGCAGTGGTACCCTGTGTCCGGTGCTTTTTGCGCCGCAGATAGTTGCCGGCGTTTGGCGGGAAATTTTGTGGTTCAAACAGCATGGAAACCGCATGCGACCGCTTCCCGGAAGCCTGCAAACAAAGATTTGTATAAACATATTAAAAGGGTTATATGCGTTAGATTTGTCAGTCGATTGGTGTTTATTTTCACCCAGCTAAAATAGCCGGTACGAATAGTCTGTTCGCTCGTAATCGGATTGCTAAATAATTGCTTCTTATGCTCATAAAATTAATATGATAGAATGTGGTACACCACAAACCTGGTTTTCTGACCTAGCTCGGGGTTGGATTTACGAATGCCAAAATAGGATCTATCTCTGATATACATGATGCTGATAGTATGATGAACAAATTGTACTGCTCTGAAGCAAAAGGAGCGAAACTATATGGTACTAAGCTATGGAATGAAAAAAAAAGAACATACTCGTACAGTAGTGCAAAAAATTCATAAAAGCAGTGCGCTTTGTACGAGGAGGGGGCAAATGAGCTCGATGCACCCGAGCAAGGGGTAACAGAGCTCGTTATCTGTGCCCGTGACTGTGCAACACGGCCAGCCACCAAGAGACGGCAGCCCGTGCTATCACGCAGAACACCTGAAGCAGTTATTGAGCCCGATAGTTTTTGTCTCCATAGACTTGTATGCTGAACTGAATCACTTCTGTTTTGCATATCTGGGAACGAAACCAAGCAAACAACATTCCAAAAGAATCAGAAAAAATTCACGAGATTTTCGATACTAAACAAGTTATGATTCATGGTGCAGAACACAAGTTATGGCCATTTATGTTTCTCGTAGACACAGCATAGAGTTTGTGCGTGGAACCCAACCGTTGATTCGAATTCTATGCTATGTCTACGAGAAACGCAAATGGTTATAACTTATAACTTGTGTCTTGCACCATGAATCATAACTTGTTTAGTATCAAAAACCTCGTGAATTTTTTCTGATTCTTTTGGAATGTTATTTGCTTGGTTTCGTTCCCAAATGTGCAAAACAGAAGTGATTCAGTTTAGCATACAAGTCTATGGAGATACATCTGCTTCAGGTGTTCTGCGTGATAGCACGGGCTGCCGTCTCTTGGTGTTACAGTCACGGCACAGCTCTATTACCCTTGCTCGATCCCCCTCCTCGTATAGATCTTGTATTCGCTAATCAGGCTGCACCGGCTTACCGCTGCACATTGCGCGCATAGTTTACCGTCATGTAACGGTCCGTGCCGGAATGTGGATTTGCCGCAAGTATCACACGTACAAATGATTGCCGGTGTGCATTTATCCCAAGATTCCGGGGTATCCAAGCGCTTTTTCATGACTGGGAAAGTGTACAACGTTATGTTACAGAGCGCTTTTCAGCCAAGTGCGTCCACTTTTTGAAAAATCGTAGTGATAGTACATTTGTACTCGAAAGCGTGTAAAATGGTTTGGTAAGTGCTGTCAACGAAGTTGAGTGCTTAACTGCCACGCAGAGTACAGGAATAAGAAGCATTTCTCCGTATATGTATGCAGGAAATGGCAACTGGCAAATTCCACGCAAAACCGTCTGGATGCCGGCAGCTGAGAGAGAAGCCAAATAGCTGCCAAATCCACCGTAAACATCGTCCTTGCAACGGCTTTCATTAGCGGATAATAAGTGAATCAAAAGCGACTGGGAAAATAGAAGGCCATGACGTGCATAATCCGTATAACAGCTAACAGCTCGCTACGGTTTAATCAGCCACCAAGGTATTTCCACGCCGTTTTAAAGGAAGTTTCGGGTTCCTCTAGCACACAACACGACTCTCACGATGACCGGCAGTTTCCGAAATTAAATAGTTATTGATCCGTGGTTTGTCGTGTTAGTAACTTGACAGTAACAATTACCCATGACGATGATAATTGGCTCAGTATTTGCACTGTATACTTATATATGCCGGTGTTGTCGCCTGTAAAGGTTCACCGATTTTTAGAACACGACAACAATCACAGACGAAGACATAAAGGTTATAAGACGATGCGAACACTCGCTTAAGCATGCGGAAACCGCTCTTCGGCTCTTTTGCACATACCGCACAAGAACAGATATCTGCTGCATCATATTCCTTCCGTAATTTTTTACGCGTCACAATTGTGCCTATTTTTAGGAATGGCCATACATGCAACCTATACGTCAGGATTGTCTCTGAACGCTTATAAACCAAAAGCCGACTGTCAGACGTGAACATAAAGATGAACAATGCTGACAGCATTAAGAACAGCTCATTATGGTGATGGTGATACCTCTTTAGCAGAACCGGGGCTGCCGCAACCGGCAAATCGATTCCACTGTCAGGCGGAAGTCAACCAGGCTCGCTGTGTACATATACGGTGATTACATGATGTACATCGATAGTTTTTCTACCCGGAAGATTGTCCTCCGCGGCCGACTAATGCCAGACCGTGTGAAGAGCATCCATTATGGCATCCGGCTTATCGCGGCCATTTGCCACGGGCTATAGATTCAGCGGTATTATGTCAATCCAGGTGGGACCGTTCTTCGGCTAATGCGGCGCTCCATTGAACACGTTACAGCCGCAGCAGGTAGAGTAGCGGCGTTGAGATTTATCCTTCGTGTTAACTGTATTTACCGGTTTGAATTACGCTTGTGCTGCACAGCTGATATTATTCATTATGCAACTTTAGGTAACAGCGAAGTCATGTCATTGCAGAAATACGGCAGTGTGCAGAAATTCGGCAGTCTGCAGAAATTCGGCAGTCTGCATACATTCGGAAGTGTGCAGACGGATATGAGCCGGACAGGGCTGCGGTATATTCCAAAAGGACACGATCGGTTGCTGGTGATGTCGATTTCGGAAGTCCTCCTGGGCGCCCTGGTGTTCTCCTTTAACCTGTATAATATTTTTTTCGGTAAGAAAATAACAATTTTCTTTTGCACTTATCAGAGATAAATATCTAACAATACTGTGTTGTTCGAACTTGGTGCAAAGGCAGGTATAACGAGGGCACCCAACCTATTTTGATTAAAGTCAGTTGCCCTTTGGTGTTAGTCGTGAGACAAAATACGGTGCAGCTGCTGCGGCACTGCTTACATAACTGCACAGTCCACTCATTTTTATTGAACCTATTCTTTTTTTTATCATTTTTACAAATTTGTAGTATAATATTTGTGGGACTCCTGATCCCCGTCCTTGTACAGCACATGCCAGATTTATATAGGCAACAATTTTTTAACGAGTTACCGTAATTTGTGGTAGTTACGTAGGTATTCTGATGCGACATTGCCCAAGTCTGATACATTGCAAATACACAATAAATGTGAATGGTAAGGCACTGGTAGCAGTCCTCACCAGCTAGGCCGAAGAGCTGGAAAACAGCTTTGGCAGTGTGCGGATTCCCCGTGCGTTTGTCATACGAGCCATGCCTACTTTGCTAATGTTGTTTTCCCGTACACCAGCTTTCCGATCTAGGGTACTTTGAACAGGAACCTAAATAATATCGGCCCAGCAATATCAGCCCAGCAGTTCAGTTACCGCCAGTTAAAATACAGTAAAACGGTAACTAATTTGTTTGGTTCGTCTCGAACGAATGACGATTCGTTATTGTCATAAACCGTAAAATGGCCCGCGTAAGATATTCGCGTAAGTATCTGCGGGACCGGCCAATGCGCTTCAGTGGACGCCGTGTTTCTGCACATGTATTTTATTGATTTATGTTGCACCCAGAACCTCATGGTGGTACAATAATATTCCGTATTTTACAGGTACATCCGCTCTGATTTTACGTAGAAGTATAAGCACTTTTCAGTACGTAGAAGTACTGTTCCAGTTATTTTATTGACTGTATTCTGTACGGATATTACTCGCACATGGCACCGGTAAGGTCTAAAGTTATATGGAATACTATCGAAAATTGTTAGTTTCGATCTGCTTTACTGTATACGCGCAACACGGGCTGGAAAAATATTGTTTAAGACGTTCACCAGTAACTTTTCCAGGCACCCTCTATCGACACTAGAAAGCAGACAGACTGGACTGGATAAGGAAAGACAGCTGGACTTACTACCAATCTCCCGTCATAAAATCTAACGTAAAAATTTAACTGATAGGAAAAAATCAGTTCCTTCAGATCTGGCGACTTCGGGAAACCGGAAATTTTGTTGGCGTTTAGATGGCTGAAAACCTTTGACCAGAATTAGCGATGCAGCAGTTGCAAGTTGTATGTTAGTAACATGATCATCTGGACGACTGGCTTGAAAACCGTTTGCGCTCGTAAACGTCCGCTTGTTGAGATATGGCACCGTATTACATAATTTAAGAAACACATCGGAAACAAAAAATAATTTAAATGCCGGTGTAGCTACTGTAACGTAGCCCGATACGGTACAAAGTTGAGCCAAGACCTTTATTACTTTTAGCAAAAGCATTTGTACCCTGCCAAAGGAGTGCAACAACTTTAAAACTGATCACCCTCGCTGTGTAGGTTGGCTACTTGAAAAACTAAGTTTCGAAAACGAGAGCCTCGACTGTTCCGTAGTCTTTCTACTTTTGTAAGAAAGACTGTGTTATCAAATCCTGATTTTCCTCTATAACAATGCTTTAGAGGTAAAATTTATAAATTCAGGGCTTTCGAGTGATGCATAGGCCTTAAAATGTTATGCATTGTAGCATTCTAGGTGATTTATCAAAAATTACTTACCTTATTCTACTGGCAGTGGTGGGGTCACTGGGGAGGTCGTTTCGCAGTGGTGGGTTCTCCACATTTCTCATAGACTTTGCATGTTAGGTTTTTTAAACTTTTCTTTCCAACGTTACTTTTGTTTCGAAAACAGGCTTTTGATGACAAATATGAAAGGTTCGGGCCTATCGAATGGTATTAGCCATCAAAGTTTGGTTCAATGTAGAGTTCTGGTGAACTGTATCGAAATGGAATTTCTGAAAGTCTTATTCTTTTAATATATATAGAGATAATACTGATAGACAATTTCTGCGTAATACTTGTGGTAGCCGCGATGAGCGCATTATATGTAAATGATAAATCTTCAGGTTTACATGTACGTCGTTGAGAGTACAGGTTGATTTAAAACAGTCTGTTTTGGCTCAACACCGCGAAGAATACCGTCAGCTATACGTCAAGCGTGTAGTTTTTCGTTTGTACTAAACTTTTATCTATGAATCTTGGAAATTTCTGGGTAAGCAATCCTTGAACGATTGCGAGATCCGTGGCCGTAGCGGTAACGCGCTCGCATTCACATTGCTGACGTACTTCATAGACAGCTTGTCAATAACTGGGAACAGGCGGATGACCTTTTCCAGTTTCTTGAACACCGTGTCCCTTTCATCGGCGCTGATACGATGACCAAGCAGATAGTACAGCACGCTCAAGAAGTACGCGTAACAGCACTCCATGGAGCGCTTGGTACTGCTGGACACCTGTGTGACGTCTACAGATAAGGTCATTATAATAGCCGGCTAACATAGCACAGTTTTCCAATTCGCCATATTCTTTTTCGGCATTTTGACGTACCGGAAGCGAACAATGCGGCAGCTAGCAGGAGATATCGTTCGATGTGGTTCAGACCGATATCATTCACCGCAGCATAGTAGAAGTCGTTGAAGTGCACAAAATCGGGATCGAAACCCAGCACGTCAATCCAGTACTTACAGCAGTGTACGTTGTCCTCTCCGAGCATACAGTAGTATCTGTCACCTTTGTAGAAGTATCTGCTAATATGGATCTACAATTACAAATCATATTTAACGTAATCTTCTTGGTGATTATCCTGCGTATCCATAACCAGTTAATCGTATTCGTGCGGGTATAAAGTTTAATAATAACAGGTATATTTTACAATTTTCATCCGTATTCAAACACAGAGGCATGTGACAACATGGCACTATGGCAAACAAGATTAACGGGATCGAAAACCAGATGACCAAAATAATTAATAATGGCTAGCAAAAAGAGAAATGAAGCATGGATGCAGAATGACCACCCTAAAGCGACAAATTATGAGTAATAAGAGCGCCGCTACCTTGTGCGCACAAACCATATTGCATACGACGAACTTTTCCACTATTATAATACGCTGGTCTTCCTCCGGGAAATCGCAGAATACAGGAATACATGATGCAAAATGCCCCAAGCGCTCTACTTGATCCGCAATTGTACGCTGAAAGGCCCCGATAGCGCGGCTCGGTGTTGTCTGCGGTTGATACTACAGCCGAAGGGAAAATCGAAACTTATTAGTAAACAAAGAAAGCGCTAAAGCTTCTTCTTTAGCCCAACAGCAAACATACATCTATACATTTATACAAAACATTACTTAAATACACATATGTGTGTTATAGAAACATGTGTATCTTTATCTCTATCTATACATCTTATTGTTAATATATTTGCAGTTCAAGAAGTAGGTAATTCAGTATCCATGCGTTCAGCTTAGAAATCTGTTCGAAAAATCACGTACAGGGTAGAATAGTAAAGACGCTTTTGAAAAAAATTATTGTAGTTCTCAAAAGTTTTGAAGAATCCAAAGAAAGTGCTTGGACGGAACTAACATTTGACAACCCCTCGCTTTTTTCTTGAACCTATGCCCACTGGCTATTTCGCAGT